TCTTCCTCCTCTTCCCTCTCCACTCCTCTACCTCTTCCTCTTTCCTTGTCCTCTTCCCTCCTCCTCCTCCACCTTCTCTTCCTTTCCCTCCTCCCTCTTCATCCTCATCCACCGCCCCCAACCCAGTGCGAAGGGCAGGAGAGCATAGTGGACCCGACGTCTCCACCTGATCGTGTGCCACACTCGGGCACAAAGCCCTTGGGAGCAGTGAGCCTTGAAGAGCAGTGGTTGAGGGTGGGGCAGGCTGGCAGCATTCTGTGCTAGTGTGTGACCTCAGGGAAGTGCCTCAGTGTCCCTGAGCCGTTTTCTTGTAAGACGTCTCCGAAGTCCTGTCCAGGCCTGCACTTCCGTGACTCTTCCCTAGACTGGGCTAAATAACTTATCCTTCTATTTAAAGGAAAGAATGCTCCAGTGCTCAGAGGAGACACAGCTTTACGGACTGAGAAAGAACAGCTGAGTGAGGACGGCGCTGTCACCACGGGCGGGATGGCCCTGGTAATAAGACCTTCATCCACACCCCGAGGCTGGGGCCGACCCGGGTCGGCGGGGTCTGTCCCTCAGGGTTGACGGAGCAATGATCCCACATTTAAACGGGACTCCCCGTTACCAGAAATTGAATCAAGATCACTTTTATCTCAGTCAGGTATTCAGGTAAGCATTTGCCCCAGATGATCTACGTGATGTAAACACGGTAAGTGGACTGTTTCCGCCCAGTTGGTTTCTGCCCCTGGTTTTGAAATAGAACAAATGCCGGTAAGAATTGTGATTCTAGGAGAGGCTTGTTTGGGGACGTCTGGGAAGCTGAATGCTCTTCCGCACCGTCCTTGTGCACCGTGTGTGGAGGAAACACTTAGGCGGAAAGCAGCTGTTACTTCAGTGAGTTCGGGTCCAGGTACCAGAGGGCTTTCCAGGCCTCTGGCAGAGGATGCGGGAGCAGAGGTGCCCCCCCCCCGTGGGGAGCCCAGCGTGGAAGCCCTTCTGGCTTGGCTGTCAGCTAGTGAGGCCGCATCCCGGGACTTTGGGGAGTTCACACTGAGCAAAAAGCAGGGACGGGAGGGCGACAGGAGGGGGAGGCTCAGGACCACTGGCCCTGCCCAGATGCGGTGCATTTACCTTTTAGAGAGTTCTAGACCCACAGTT